CACGTTATCACCGGTACAGATCCGGGGGCAGCACAGGAGCAATCAGCAAGATGACTGAACACAGATGGACTGGGAAGAGAGGGACATCAGCAGTGGAGGGGAAGTTAGAGACTGATGAAATGCTTTGGGCAAGAGGAAGTACGTACCTGAAATACTGGGCACAGTTCAGATAGACTGCGGGCACACACATAGGAAGCGGTCAGGCCCTGGTAAGTGAACAGACAGGAAAGGCCAGAGGAAATCTGAACCCTGGACCACCAGAATAGTGAAATAGTAAAAGAACAGCTACACAGCAAAAAAGACCTATGTTGTCACTGGGTTAAAGTGGGAGGAGGAGTCAATGGGTCGCAACATGGATTCAGCACCAGATAAATTCATTTTCGGTCCTAATAATCTATCCTCCTCTAAACTCTTGTTGGTCCTTACCCTTTTCCCTTTTCTTAAGTAAATCAGATCCTGCTCACTCCCCTCATCTTCAAAGTTCTCCTCAGGCCTCAACCCTTAACTAGACCAAAAGCAGGTACCCTCCTCATCTCCCTCGATGGAACTGTCTCAGAGGAAAGAATAAAAAATGTTTTCTGCCAGTTTTGGTAGAATATTAGGAGAGAAAGGTAATGGTTGGAGAGTTACTAAATTACCACTCATCTCCTGGTGTCTATTCAGTTAAGAGTCTGATTTCTGGTAACTGGAGATTAGGCTTGAAAGGAGGAGACCTGCCTTTGTTTCAGTGTGTACCCACCTTCAAGGCTGGAACACGGGGCTACCGCGCCTGACCACTACCCGATCACATCTGAGCTCCTCTCACAACCGTCTCATAATTCACTTGGATTGTTAATCATGCACTGATTTGTGTCTGTCACCTGCTTTGAAGAAATTAAGTTCCATGTTGCCACAGTTTAAGTCTTATCTCCCAAACTACTATTTCAAACTACTGGGGACTACTAACGTCTGAAGTATGTCCAGCACTTAGTATTCCAATGTGCACTTTTTCATTCACTTTGCTGTTCCTCTCAATACCGACAAAAGGCATTTATACAAGTGATTTCAATGCTCTGGAATCCTAGAGACACCGATTTACATATAATGCTCCCTATAAAGAATACTTGCATTATGCCCTTAAGAACGCAAATGTTCATGAAAGCCAGTTCCTTTGAGCAATAGGAGCTCTATTTATAGTTCTCAGAATTTAGTAGCTCCCTAGTTCTAATTTTACACATGGACATACAAGTCCTAGCCACAGATAGCATATATTTCCCTATTTTTCTATTCACATATAAATTGTTACTCACCTGTTGAGTTACCATCAGCTATCTTCTAACTATTATATTTTGGGTATTAAAGAATAGTTCTTTGTTTCCTCACTTCTAATTATTTAGCAACCAATCCTGACTAAACTAGCTTAAACATTAAAGTTCCAAACTTGGTATTTTTAAGAATTACCTGAGGGGGCTTGCTTAAAAAAAATAAATAAATACAGGCAGATCCTAGCCCAGGGGTAGGCAAACTTTTTGACTCAAGGGCCACAATGGGTTCTTAAACTGGACTGGAAGGCCGGAACAAAAGCATGGATGGAGTGTTTGTGTGAATTAATATAAATTCAAAGTAAACATCATTACATAAAAGGGTACGGACTTTTTTTTTTTTAGTTTTATTCATTTCAAACGGGCAGGATCCGGCCCGCGGGCCGTAGTTTGCCCACAGCTGTCTAGGACCTCGCCCCTTCCAGAGGGCTTATTTAGCAAGACCTCAGGTAAAGCCCAGGCATGCATGTTTAATAAGCACTCCAGAGAACTGTGTAGGTGTTCCGTAGACTAGTTTTTGAAACGCTTCTTTAAAACCTTCTTCCTGTAGGTGGTCGTCTGAGCTTATCAGTTCCTTGAAACAGGAATCTCACTCCCTTGTCTTCTACAGTACTATGAAAGCAAGGTGAGTTCTGCTGTTGCCACTGATACTTACTGAGGAGGAAAGGAGGCAAAGGAAAAACTATTAAGAGAAGGGAGAAGACATCTGTAAAAACTCCCTCTCCTTATTTATGTTGCCATCAGAGTATGAAACCCTAACCTTTTTTTAAGGTGTAGACTAGGATTTTAACACTCAATTCTCCACTAAATAAATGCCTTTCTTTACTCAAACCCAATGTTCCTTAAAGGTTTTCAAAACCCACCAGTTAGCCCCAAATGTGGGCAACAATTGGCTGGAAATTCACAAACGTTTCAAACCAGTGGTCCTCATCTTGTGTCTCTTCCTCCATTTCTTAGTACTCATTAAAAACCCAAAATAAAACAAATGATACAGAGCTGAGTGGTAAGTTCACTTAAAAGAGATGTGCTAAATGATTGAATTGTGAGTTGGTAGTGTGCTTTTCATTCATGGTGTTGCACTTCCCTAAATGTCTGAAATTACCTACGATCATATGGAATTGAAAACATCAGATTATATCAGTAAAATGGGTGCAAAGCGTATAAAAACAGTGATTCTTTTTCCTCCCATTGATGTTAAAACCAGGATCATCTGTAGAATTTATATAAAGCTCAAACGCCTATATAACTTTTTAAGTGCAATTTTATGAAATAGGTGGAACAAAGAGAACAATCAGACAGGAATATTAATAGACCTTTGTCTCGTTTTCCCTGCAAACTAAAGGTCTGACTAACACAACATATTTTAAATGAAGCCAAAGGCCTTTTTATCTCTTTATTGTCCATTAATTTGCTATTTGTCTTTGAAGTCTATCTCCATTTCCTATACCCATTTTTCAAAATCGTAAATAAAATTTTTAGAATAATAATAAAAATGCAAATTAATTGCTAATATCCTTCCTAAAGGCACACATGTCTAAATAGATTTTGCATTTAACTGTGCCACAAGTTTACTTTCTCAGAAGGCAATGTGTTCAAATATGAGTTCCGTTTCTTAAAAAATTATATAGACACAGACAAGGACAAAAAGATAATTAGCAGAAATTAAAGCAGATGTGTCCGGTGATGGTCACCAGCCCGATGTCGATCATCCATGTTACACAGCCCCTACAGCAGCCTCAAGCATTCTGCCAGCGCCAGGCATGGCCCCTGCCTCCCTCAGGGGCCGGCGGCAGGAGTGCAGCACGCTTGCCACCAGCCAAAGGAAAGACTTCCCTCTTCCTTCCACACAATTGCTAACTCCGGGCTAGAAAGGAGACACCTGAAGAGAAACAAAACCACTCCACGAGCTTCCTGGTTGCTCTCCGTGCCCCGGGGTGTCTGGGTTTCCCTCCCAGAGAACAGAACAGGAGGACAGGGGCCCAAAAGGACAAGCATTTCCTGATCCCCTCTTCTCAGCAGTTCCCTAAACAAGTCTACACTGCTCCCTAAAGTTCTTAAGTTATTTAGGTTTACGGGGAAAGGGGAAGGGACAATAGGAGGAAAGGGACACTTTACAAAAATGCATTTTTAAAGATGAAGAGAGTTACATATTCCCTTCGCCAGTTCGCTTTACTCCACGTTTCATCCACTTGCAGTAACACGTGGGCCAGCCCGCGCGTTTCCGTGTCATTTCCAAGGCCCGGCTCCCGAGGAGTCGGTGCACATCCGCCCGGCTTTGAAAGGCGGCGTGCGACCACGCGGGGCCCCGTCCCAGCGCAGCGGGCGAAAGAAACGTTGGCGTCTCCTACCTACCTTCAGGGTCGGACCATGGCCGCCCAGCTTTCTCCGTTTCACAAACGCGGGCACGTCGGTCTCCGAGGTCACTCGGCCAGCGCTCACCCGAGGCGCGGCCCGTCCTCTGCGGCACAGAAGCCGAGCGGGCGCGGGTGAGGCGGGCGCTCCGCCGCAGCCTGACCGGGACCTCGCCCGCGCCCGGCTCGGGCCCCACAGGCCAGCGTTCCGGTCAGACCCGAGTCAGTCTCCTAGACATGCTCGCGCTGCCTTCCCAGGACATCCGGAACCCAGGAAAGCCTCCAAAAGGAAGCTTAGGGCACAATTACCTCAGCTTTTAAACGGAGCGGTTTGTAAAACACCTCCCAAATTAATCTTCCTTTAAACTCTGCATCTGTACAGGACGTCAAAATCCAACTTCCAACGTTTCTTGGAAATTTGAATCCATAGGGCAGAATTACGAACAGTCTTTCCATTTGGGGTGATTTATCTACCCGAAGCAATACAGCAACACCCTCCATGACATATGGGACCTAATGGTCCACTTTTACAGGTGAACTCTGAGAATGCGTCAGTGATAGAACTAAAAAGACTCCAGTTACACTGATATCAGGCCCATTCATAAGACAAAAACCACACCATCACTTAAAAATATAGTTGTTTATAACAGCAATAATAGCTAACACACTTCTGTAGTGGCTGTGCATATATGAACACAATCTTCACAACCTTCTTGAAGCAAGGCCTAACAGGTCCATTTCACAGATAGGGACACTGTGGCACAGAAAAGCTAACTTGCCCAAGGTCACAAGCTGGTCAACAGCAGATGGAGGACCCACACTCGGGCAGTGTGGTGTGTGCTTTTACACTATCCTGTATCGCCTGGAAAAGGCTCCTCTCAGCTGTCCCCGCTTAACTGCCTGGGGGAGTCCAACGATTCTGAGCCTTGAACATGTAAATACATGTAATTTGCCAACCTCTCAGGATTTCCGGGGACTCGGTGCTGTGAAAATCCTGGAAAAGCGTCGTGAAATTATTACACTCTCTTAATGCTGTCGAGGATCTGTCAAGGTCGTGCACTAAGAAACGATACAAAAAACCATTTTCTCGGATATTCTGCAAGCAAACTGTCTCCACAAAGAAGAGCGAGAGGAAGGGAACGGCCAGGGGCCGGTGTCCCCTACCACAGGTGAAGCTTTCACTAACCCGGGCTAATCCAAGAGGAGCTCGCTTGCCCGAGAAGAGCCTCGCCCTCAGATACCCCTGCAACGTCTCCCCTCCCGGCGTTCCCCCGGCACCCAGCAGGCGGTGTTCGGGTCCCGGCCGCTCACTCGGGGCTGGGTCGGCTGTCAGTCACCCAAGGCTTACATGCACACGCGCTCCCGGGCCTCGGGCCCTCCTTCAGGTGTCCCGCACCGTCCGCTCCGCTCCGCTCCGATGCAATGCGGGACTGAAGCGAACAGTGGAGCCGCTGCAGGTTCCCGGTGGCTACGGGAAGCCACGCCCTTGTGTGAGCCGAGCGGTGGCAGAAAGCCAGAGTCAGGATGACAAAGCAGAAATCCGCGGCTCGTGCAGCCCTGGCGACCTAAGCCCGCGGCTCGGCTAGCTAGGCTCCCCTAAGGGTGACGCCACATCCTCTTCCTGATGATAGCTCCCCCAATCCAAGAAAAGAACAAAAACAATTTAAGGAATGTCTGGAACCAGAACCCAAAATAAGAGTGGGTTTTAAATGAACAAAACTGGACTATGCCCTTAGGCGGTGACTTCAGAACTTTGCTGCCCAGTGTTATCACGGGAGGATCTTATAAAAATCGCTGGCACCTGGTTCCCACCCCCACCCCCCATATTCGGATGGAATGGGTATGGGGTGCCACCTGGGCATGAGTTTTGTTTTTTTAACTCCTGGGTATTCTATAGAGTGAACAGCAAAGTGAGGGACCCAGTGCCCTCAGGTAATGGGTTAGTCAGCCTGGCAATTCCCTAAAGGAAGTTACTATACCCTGACTAACCCTGAAATGAAGTGACAAATTGCACCAACACACAACTTCCCCTTAGAGTTCTTCCTCCTTGTCCCACTCAGGTTTAGGTTTGTCATGGATGTTTTAACGAAAACTGAAGAGTATACAGCTCCAGCCATGCCAAGCCACCTGTAGCTGCCCAAGTACCCGTGCTCTCTCATATATCCATGCTCTGTCATATTCTGACACTTGCACTAGTAGCCCACTATGTATATTTGCTGAATAAATAAGTAAATGAATGTCTTCCCCACCTCTTTGTCTGGATACTGCCAGACTGAAGCAGACTTAGGTGAAAGGGTTGCTGGTTTCTTAAGGCTGTGAGAAACCACACTTATGACCTGGCAGACAAACACAATCCACTTTTTTGAGCCCCTTCCAATCCTCTCAGCTTCTGAACGTGCGCAAACGCACGCACGTACGCATGTGTGCACTGACCTGACACTTTC